ACACGCTTGCTAGAAATAGTGACACATGATTCCTTAAAAATATGTATAAGTATGCATCTCTGCATCTACTTATTTTCTACTCGTTGGTTCCCACTTCAGTTTACAGCATGAAAATTAACTAACAAGGCTTCTCAGGGCCTGCATAAAACCCAGTGACTCCCGGTGCTCCAAATAACTATCAGCTTTATGACTTTTGGTTTAGCGGGAAAAAAACAAGGAGAGTCATCAGGTGCCACTCAGATCTCGGGCTGGCTTCTGCCCTTTCTGACGTGATGATACCCCAGGAGGTTCTGTGTATTAAGTGAAAGTATTTACAAACTAGATGCCACTGTGTAATATTATTTCAAACAGAAGTAGAACAAAGGCAGAATCAGAGTAATCCGGGAGGTAGGGAGGTTCTTTAACACGGAACCAGAAGGTTTTCATTTTGCAAGTTTGTGGGTATTATGAAAGCGGGGGGGGGGGGGGGGAGGAGGGAGCGAAATATTACCTAATTCATCAATAGGATTATGGGGGGAAACCGCAGTGGAGGTCTGCTCCCACAGTGCAGAATTGCAGGTAAAAGGCTTTCTGGGAGGATTATGAAAATCTGTCTACTTATGTTGCAGGATCCAGTGGCAAACAAATTACTTGTACCCCTGTATGTGCAGTCGTATGTACAAAGTACTCGTACACTGCTTTTATGTAACGACTTCCTTTCACTCTGACGTTCTAATTTTCGAGGTATTCTCTCTGTTTCATGGAATTCCAGAAAGAGAAATGAATACATCATTATGAAGCCGCATTTGCCAAAACTTAGTGGCTTCAAAAAACATGAGTTTACTAATAATCTTACAGCTCTGGAGGTCAGAAGTCCAAGGTGGTCTCACTGGGTTAAAATCAAGGCGTCAGCGGGACTGCTTTCCTTCTGGAGGCTCCAGGGGAGAATCTCTGTCCTTGCCTCTTCTAGCTTCTTGAGGCCATCTACATTCCTTGGCTCGTGGTCCCTTCCCTCTATCTCAAAGCCAGCAGCGGCAGGCCAAATCTCCCCCTGCTAACATCTCTTCACGCTCTCAATCTCCTGCCCCCCTCTTCCAAGTTAAGGACCCTTGTGATTACCCTGGACCCACCTGGAGAGTGCAGAGCTCCACCTGAAGGTAAGTTGATTAGCAACCTTAATTCCACCTCCAAATGTAATCCCTCCACTTTGCCACGTAACGTAACATAGTCCTAGGTTCCAGGGATTAGAACGGAGGGGCAGGGGAGGGGTCATTACTCTGCCTACCATATGGGCTATAATCTAGTTTTAAGTCAATAAGTATCAGACATATAATATGCCAGATACTTCACAAAACTGTTGCCCTCCTTAGCCCCCAGGCACTTGGCTTTGGAATGTGTGTGGTGGGGGGAGGTGAGCGAGGTCCTCTCTCGCTTAGGGCCAAACAGGGGTATACTGATAAACTCAGCAACCTCCTCTAGCAAAGAGGAGGAGGGGGAGGTTGATTTGCAGCGTTTACTGATTTCCGTGGTGAAAATACTCCCAACAGGGAGGGTTTCAAGCTACCACAGTGAAGTCAACTAGTTTACAAAAATCCCGAAAACGTAACAATCCACTCTCACAGGTGGATTTGAGCAGGCTCTCATACACCAGGGGAAGAATACATAACATCAACCTAGTCTAGGACCGGGAATAAAAGTTTGACTAACGTACCCTAGTGCCCTTTCCAAATTTCCCCCTCACCTATAGGGCTAACTCTTCCTGAACCCATTGACAAGACCGGATACTAAAGGGCTGGCTGCCTTTCACAACCTTCTGCTTACTAAAGATCAAAGAACACCCCCATGTGCTAGCAGAGAATAGTCTACTTGACCCTCACTCACACACAGGTAGTAAGCAATTAGAGGCCCAGGGTTGGGGGGGAGGTGACCCCTCTTGGGAGAGGGGAAAACTGAAGGGCAACAGGGTTAAGACAAGAGGCCAAGCTAGGGGTTCTCGGGTGGCAACAGGCTGCTCAGCTTCCACTTGACTCGGAGTTCCTGGACAGTAGCCATTCGCCTGGGGAGGAGGGCGGTATTTTGCAGGCTGGTGTCCATATGTGTGTTTGCCGTGCATTTTAAAGAATAAATGCTCCATAAGCACAGCCATTATTGCTTCCCTTGGCCATTTTCACACTGGCAATGTGAAGTATGCCATTTCTAGATGGATAATGTCCATTTTTCTTTTATCTGACACATGCTACTAAATAGGCTCACATTTACTACGAAAAGCCACAGATTTATGTACAATAAGAACAGCTAGGTCACGGTGGCAGCGCAGGGCAATTAACCAAAGAAATCAGGTCCGTAGAAGGACCAGGGGAGGCTGCTCCTTATCTTGTTATGTAGATTACATTAATGCTCCTCGATTTTATATGCACAAGAATAAACTGGGAAGCTTATTAAAATGCAGGTTCTGGTTCAAAGGTTTGGGGATCTCAAGATTCTGCATTTCTAACAAGTGATGCCCATGGGGCTGGTTCAAGGAACATCTTTTGAATGGGAAGGATCAACAGATCAACTTTCTCTCCCCATCTCTCACTTTTGGGCAAAATTATACCAATAATCATTACAATTATCACATTAGAAAAGCAAATCCAATTAAGATTTCTGTAGTTAATGATTGTTATACACCTAGTGTTATAGTACAACTTGGAAAGAGGAAAATGCTGCTTTTACTCAGTGTTAAATAAGACCATTTCAGGGGCACTTGGGTGGCTCAGTTGGGTAAGACTCTGATTCTTTTTTTAAGTTTATTTATGTATTGAGAGAGAGAGAGAGAGAGAGAGAGAGAGAGAGAGAGAGAACCAGCAGGGGAGGGGCAGAGCGAGAGTTGGGGACATAAGTCTGACAGCAGAGAGCCTGATGCTGGGCTTGAACTCATCATGATCTGAGCCAAAGCCTGACGCTTAACCAACTGAGCCACCCAAGCATCTATTTAACTCTTGATCTCAGCTCAGGTCATGAATTCCCGACTCCTGAGTTCAGGCCCCTCATTGGGCTGTGTGCTGACAGTGTGGAGCCTGCTTAGGATTCTGTCTCTCCCTCTCTCTGCCCCCTTTCTCTCCCCCACCCCACCCCCTCAAAATAAATAAATAAACAAGCTTAAAAAAAATGAAGACCATTTTGGCCACTAACATTTCTGAATAGTATACATTATTTGATCCCATGAAGAAATGAGCTATAAATAACCCACAAGTCAGCTAATTATGGGTATTAAATGACAACTAATAAATGGCTTTTAGAATAAGAAGTTGCAACACAGTAGTTCTTCAGGATCTACAAGACTCTTAATTCAATTCCTGGTGATGATCTGACGATTTTCTCAGTTTCAACTGAAATGCAGAAGGACTATGTAAAGGGTCCGTCTCCTCTACAATCACAAGACCAAAGTGTGAACTTCCCTTGGAAGAAAAATTGGGAGGGGGCGGTTGGATGAAAAAGAATGGGGAACAGAGAGGTAGAAAGACGAAATCATGTTTTTGAAGATTAAAAACAAATTAGTGTCACAAAAATCTATTCAGTGAAGGTGTAATAGCTGATCAATTGGAAACAGACTGCCAAATCAAATTTTGTGAGCAAAGTTCCTATATTCTTTTGTCTTACACCTCCAGCATTTCATTACAGTTCTGCATGCAGAAGTCCAGTCTTATCTCTACCCTAGAGCCCACATCTCTGCACTTGACAGATGTTCCCGGAGCCGTGAGGGAAGAAGAGGAGGTGGGGCTTAGTGTAGAGGCATGGCAGAGAGCTGCCCGAGATCATACAACAAGACACCTTATAAAGAAAGACAGTCTGCTCACCAACCAGGTAAACAGCAGGTAAGGCTCATATACTCTCATGTGTTTTACAGGCCATCACCTTTCGGCTTCATTAACTGTGACTGGTAAAAATATCCATTGCTTGGTAACCAGGCTTAAATTTTGACCAACCCTCAATCTTGAAAAGAAAAAACGAAAGGGAAGGAGGGAGGGAGAAAGAGCTACACAGACAGACAGGCAGGAGGACAGCAAGAATAGGAAGTGTGTTTCCATGACTTATACTTGAGCAGGTGCCATACTTGGTGGTCAGTATCATGAGCCAACCCCTCACCCCCATACCTCCAATACTTAAAACCTGCTACAGCTTAGGACCTTGTGGGAATGGGAGGAGGAAGAAGGGTGGGGGTAGAACAACACTACATTCTTCCTTCTTCTGTAGCAGAAAAGCATGTTTTAAGAGAGATTTTTTGCCAAGCTCCAGAAAGAGTTATCAAAACTAAACACATCACTGTGAGCTTTATCACGTCACTAATACTGAAATGCAAATGCACACTTTTTCTTGCACTGGTAAGAGAGGCATGTTCACCTATCTAACACTCACCCTGGAAAAGGCAGTGCACCGTGAATTGCTGGTGTTACTAACCGCTTTGCCTTCTGGTCAAATACACAGCCACTACTTGATCACTTGCCTGGGAGGTGAGATTGTGTGGTCACTAAGAACTCCAGCTCTGAGGGGCACCTGGGCGGCTCAGTCGGTTAAGCATCCAACTCGTGATTTCGGCTCAAGTCACGATGTCACAGTTCCCTGCGTTTGAGCTGTGCCTGTACGTTGGGCTCTGCACCGAGAGCACAGAGCCTGCTTGGGATTCACCATCTCCCTCTCCCTCTGTCTCCCTCTCCCTCTGTCTCCCTCTCTCCTTCTCTCTCAAAAGAACTAAACAAACACAGGAAAAACAAAAAAACCAAAAACCTAGTGCTGAGGCCAGTCTGCCTGTATTTGAATCCTACTTCTCCTATCTACTGGCCGTGAGCCCTTAGGCAAGTTACCTACCCTCTCTGTGTCGGTTTCCTCATTTGTAAATGCAAGTAATAAGAATAATCTATAGTCGTAAGGCTGTTTCGAGAATTGAACGAATTTGCATATGGGCGGTGTGCAGAAGACAGCCTGGCATACACAGGGAGCCTTCGGTCAGTGGTAGCTCACCATCCTTGCCACTATCTTACCTTCTGTCTCTGAACTGCCTTCATCTGTTGTATTCTGGCCTCTTCCACTTGCTTCTTGATTCTTACAGATTCTTCTCTTTTTAGCTAAATTGTATTGAAATTACAGAGGACAAAAAACAGTTACTATCTTTCAGTCTGAACCTCTGGAACACGAAATTATGATGAGAGACAAATTACAGTATTGTTTGTGTTCTACCTCGCCATGATGATAGGCTGGCATTTCCCACTACTAAGATCACAGAGAATTGTCAGGCTGCATCCCCTGTCCATGACATTTCTCTCATGGTTCTTCCTTGGTCTCTGTCTCTCTGTCCTCCCACCCCACCCACCCAGGTTGGGGAGGAGAGACAGCAGATGATATTTCCTTATTATAAAACTCATATGCCTCATTATTTTTAAAAAGTCACTGGCATCTTCAATCTTTTCTGTACTACTTTTGTGCAAACCCATGTTCTTGGTGCAAAACCTTCAAAACGTGGCAGGGATTGAACTATAAAAAATAAATCCCTTTGTGAAGGGTCCTGCTGACTGATGTACGGCTTGGATAAGAAGTCTAGAGAGTCGTCTCTTCGTTTCTTACCTCCTGACTTCTTTGATTTTGAGAGTTTCCTTTTGTAATTGGTTTCAAGGTTTTATGCTTTTGGTAAATGTATTATTTCATGGCGACTGAAAGTGCCAGTACTCAAATTCCTTGCCAAAACTGAACTAAAAGAGACGGATTCTGACCTTTTGTTGGTATTTCGATTGCATCAGTTGGAGTTGTTGTTTCTGCCTGACTTCAGCTTCCGATTGGCTTCCACCTACAGGGAAAAAAGTCACAAAGGTGAAACATGAATATTAAGCTGAAATGTCAGCCATCAGAGACTAATTAATAGATGATAAGTCTACGCCAGGAGTTTCTTTAACATTTTCATGCCCCTGGAAATGAGGATATAAACAGTTTTCTTTTCTTTTTTTTTTTAACGTTTATTTATTTTTGGGACAGAGAGAGACAGAGCATGAACGGGCGAGGGGCAGAGAGAGAGGGAGACACAGAATCGGAAACAGGCTCCAGGCTCCGAGCCATCAGCCCAGAGCCCGACGCGGGGCTCGAACTCACGGACCGCGAGATCGTGACCTGGCTGAAGTCGGACGCTTAACCGACTGTGCCACCCAGGCGCCCCATAAACAGTTTTCATAACAAGACATTAGAGAGTGGGAATTTCTTAAAAGAGAAACATGCTCTGGACAGAGCATGGTACCATATGCCTAAAAGAAGAGGAGAATCCTACAAAGGTTTTCAGTCATGTGGGTGGTCACGTCTTCACTTAGACTGAATTTACACCTGAAGGTACATGCTAAATAGTGCCGGTCTTAAATACTCTACAACATCCCTCCTACTTGAGGATGGCCATTCCTTAGCCTACTCAGGCTGATGATGCTTTGCTTTGCTTGTCTTGTCTTCTCCTGACCCTACTGCCTCATTCTTTTTTTAAATTTTTTTTTTTCAACGTTTATTTATTTTTGGGACAGAGAGAGACAGAGCATGAACGGGGGAGGGGCAGAGAGAGAGGGAGACACAGAATCGGAAACAGGCTCCAGGCTCTGAGCCATCAGCCCAGAGCCCGACGCGGGGCTCGAACTCACTGACCGCGAGATCGTGACCTGGCTGAAGTCGGACGCTTAACCGACTGCGCCACCCAGGCGCCCCCCTACTGCCTCATTCTTGAGTAGCATAGTGTAGGAAATCCTCAGGGGTCTTGCCACCAGAAAATTACATAGTCTTTATAACCAGGTTTTAAAAACTACTAATATTTTAGTTAGTGACTGTCAATCCATACCCCTTAGTTTTCTTTCTTGAGGTATTCAAGAGAAAAATATGGAAGTGAGATTATTTGCCTATTCTCTCTTAAACCTAAAATAATTCGGGGACAGAAATCCTTGCAGCTTGCCAATCATCTAAGAATTGCTGTTTAGGGATTTCTTGGTGTTTATGCAAGCTTGGTATGTGTATTATAAAGACTCCTTTGAAATGATTCTCTGGTGCTTTGGTCACTAAAAGTGTCAGTTCTCTGAAAGATTCATTCGCACAGAAGATGCATTAAAACAATTTGCATTCACTGTAGTTTTTGTAATTGAACTGATAAACACACCACAGAGACATTTATTCTGAGTCCCAAAAGATATATAAGGCCTAGTTGGTTGTGGCCCTTCGGTCTCTGTTGTGGGGAACTGGGGAAAGGGAAAGAAACAGTGAGGAATATGGAAGCTATTATCTAATGTTACAGCCACTGTCAGTATCTCCTGGAGCCATTCCAATATTTTAAAGGGTAGATGAATAGGGGAGGAGTGGAGAGTTAAAACAAATAAAGAAAGGGGCTCTTAGGTGGCTCACTTGAGATCCAGACTTGAGCTCAGGTCACGATCTCACAGTTTGTGAGTTCAAGCCCCACGTGGGGCTTGCTGCTGTTAGCACAAAGCCTGCTTCAGATCCTCTGCCCCCCACCTCTCTGCCCCTCCCCCACTCATGCTCTCATGCATGTGCTCGCTGTGTCTCTCTCTCAAAAATAAATAAAAACATTTAAAAAAAGAAATAATGAAAGTCAGATGTCTAAGAATGTGAAGGCTTTGTTCCAAACTCATCTCAAAGTTTCATATATTCTAGGATTTTCTTTTTTACCTCCTAGACGCTTGTGAAATACAATGGAATGGTAGTGATAATGCCATTACGTTCACCCATTAAATCATTTCCAAATTAGCTTATTTTTACCTTTGTCCTGGAAAAAAATACTTTCCTAAAACTATTGTGACAGTAAGTAACCCCTGACTCTAATGCATTTGTTGTTAACGAAATCGGTGGGAACCATGTATCCAGTCTTTTCAGTTCCCAGGTGCTGCTGGAGAAAGGAAAAGCGAAGAAAGGATGTGAATGATTCCCATTAGGTGGCATCCCTGTTGAATGATTCAAACACCAGGCACAGGCAGCCCACACAATTCATCACACTGGCATGTGCTCTGGGGGCCCAAAGGTCTCTATCTGTAGAATGAAAACACAGGTGAAGTTCTCTTTATACCCACCACCGTGTCCCCAGCTCACTCTCATCTTCGTTTTAGAATTGAATCTCCATCTGGTTTTTTTTTTTTTTTTCCCATTAGCATTCAATACTGCCAGGATTAATATGCTTGTGATAGCTTTTACTCCCGTCCTGTCGAGTGCTATGACAAGGCATATGCAGCGTCCCAGGTACTTTCTTCAGAAGTGATCCTCTAAGAGACTCTAAATTATTCAGCAATTAAGCCATCACTTTATTCCCACATAACTGGGGCATCATACATTTGCTTCTCACAGAAGATCCAAAACAACATACCTTCATACCTAAGAGTTTCAAGTTTAAATGCATTGTATTCCAAGCAGCACAATGACCCCCAAACCAATAACGCACGTTCAAAGACAGATGCAGGCAAGGCGCTAACAGGATCCCTGGGTGGCCCTGTCTCCCCCGATCCAGGCACCTGGTTTACTGGCTTACCTAAGCGCCTTGGGACCAGGGTAACAGGCTTCGCTCGTTGTTGTTCTTTCCACTTCTCAAGATTTTCCAGCTCTTTCTCAGCAACTAAGCCAGGTGAGAAATGTCAAATCATCAATGATTAGAATGTGAAAACAGTTCCGTTGATAGCACAAGAAACAAGCATCAGAGGGCAATTAACTCCATGCAAGCATGAGTGCACAAAATAGCCAGGAAAGGAAGGCACCCTTTGGGGCAATGCTGCGCCCACCCCTGAGGCTCTCTCTCTCTCTCTCTCTCTCTCCAAGAGTATGAACTGAAAGTCCAAATTTGGAAAATCCTGACCTCTTACTAAAATAAAGGAGTTTTGTTTTCCCTCTCATTCTGGCATTTTTAAAACCCTAGATCCAATTAGTTTTTTGAATTTTCTATAGAGAGTGTGTATAAAACTAGAATATTCGTATGTCAGTAAGAACTCTTTGCACACAGTAAACAAAGCCCCAGAGAATTCTGATGCCCACAGCACTGTGTTTCAAACGTCGCCCAAGCTTACCGCAACTAGGGGTGAGGGCTCCAGCCCCTTGCACTCCATACCACCAGGCAGGACAGCCTCTAGGTGGAGCAGCGCTCACTGCCCAAATAACACACTCTGCATGACAGCAGGGGGCGCCCGAGATACTAATTCTGTTCTTCAGTGCGTATCCAGATCTCCCCCACCTTAGACCCCATTATTTCAAATGTCCATATGTAGTATTTTTAATTGGGGGGGGGGCCTTCTGAAACATACCCCAAATCCAGACCACACTAAGGCATAAATTCCTGGAAAGTATTTAAATCACAAGCTCGTAAAATGCCAGAACCTTTGGGACTCAGTTGGGTCGCTGGCTCAGTTGCTGGCAATACCCACAGTCTCTGTCTGCATAGCTATGACCGTCATACTCTGCACTGATGCAGGTGTACCATCCAGGGTGCAACATGTCTGGTGGAGACTCAAGTCTCTAATTTAGACAACTGCTTCCCTGTTGTGCCTGTATGTCCATTCTTAGTCACAATATTAAATTTCCTATCAAGATCTAATAAAGGAGAGGGACACCTGGATGGTTCAGTCAGTTAAGCGTCTGACTTCGGCTCAGGTCACGATCTCACGGCCTGTGGGTTTGCGCCCCGTGTTGGCCTCTTGTGCTGACTGCTCAGAGCCTGGATCCTGCTTCAGATTCTGTGTCTCCTTCTCTTTCTGTCCCTACACTACTCACACACACACACACACACACACACACACACACACACACACACACTCTCTCTCTCTCTCTCTCTCTCTCTCTCTCTCTCAAAAATAAACATTTAAAAAAAATTTTTTTAATTAAAAAAAAAAATCTAATACACAAGAGCACAGAATGTCAGCGCTAGCCCCACAGCTTGAAGTGAACAGGCCTCATAACTTCTTTGTGAACTGGTTGAACTTGAGTTCTCCATCTACCTCTAAGTTATAATGCTGTGATTTAAACGGCAGCATTTATTTTACGGTACAGCTTCAAATAGGCTATGCACCCACTAGGTACGAGGGCAAACATGAGTAAAGTGTAGTCCCTGCCCTCAAAGAGGTTGTAACCTAGAACAAGGAAATGGACGCTCTCAAATAAAAACAGCTGAGGGCAGACTCTGATACTTACAAAATTATGGGAGCACAGAGGTTAAAGAAAAATTCCATTAAGAAGGGATGGGACGGGACAGATCAAGAAGGGGACAGATTATGTCATGATCTGTTTCATATATAACTCATCTGCTCTGCAAGTATTCATAGTCCTGTAAAAATATCTGCAGTCAACCCAATTTCATGGGAACTAGATAATTTATTGGCAATAGATGTGAAATTGTGTAAGTCCAACAGAAATCTGAGATTTGCCATTGTGCTATGAGTTCTGCTATTAACATAGAGAAACTAATTTAGAAGGATTAACAATAGAATAATTTTAAAAGCTATAATTAAAGCTGCTAAAGTTAAAAAAAGAAAAAACTCTGTAAGATGTGGTGGGTCTATTCGTACCAGAAAATAAAACTATAAACCAAAGTAAATCAATCCTACTCTCTAAGATGAAAAGCATTCTGAATGTTAAATGAATAAATATACATACTCCTTTGTATCTGATTTCTTCGGTTTTCATTTGGTGTTATCAAGGTATATGCGCCTGTGCTGGAATAAAGAGGAAAAAAATCGATTATCATGAGAAACTAATACATATAACTTCCAGACACTCTTGCTGCTAATATACTGTATTTATGATCATCACCATCAAATAGATACTGTGGAAGATAATCTTCTTAAGACCCAGCTCTGTTCTCTGGGAGGTTACAATCTAGTTGTCAAGTAAAACGAGTACACATGGCCAAATATGGAAATATAAAGCAACGGATCAAGACCGACAAGTGACTGCTTCGCAGTTCGCTCTAGTAAACTGTCTTTGTAGGGATCCACCGTTCCTCCAGGTGGCACTCAGGGGCAAGTCCCTTTGAGATGGCGTTAGCCGGGCATTCTCTTCCATCATGACCCACGTTGGGAGTACAGAAAACATTCATGCATTCTTGGGCCCTACAAACTGGAAATCCATGCCACTTGCAACGCAGCCACCTTCTCTTCATGAGCCATCTGAGTGGCCATGTGGCCACATCTTGTGCTTCCAGGCTCTGACTCTCCTAGGCATGGATCTACTAGGTCTCCTCTTCTCCTGGGGACACAGAGAGAACATAATCAGGAGCTCAGAGAAGCATCCTTGAAGCATTTTAATTCATGGGGTGCGGATCTGGGAAGATGGCATTTAACCGAATATACACAGCACTGAGATTCCAGGAGGCTGTTAAAATACTGTGAGCTTTTGAGGGCTGGAACTTGACTGATCTGTACCCACCCAGCCTCTGGCACAATGCCTGGCACAGGGTACCTGCTTGAGGACTGTGGGCTGAACTGAAATGAAATGATGCCACAGACCCAGTCTGTAAATCTGTTTGGCAGGGGGAGAGAGGCTCTTCTCTGAGATGATGGATGTGGCCCCACAAGAGCACCAATACCTCACAGAGCAACAGACTGCAGCATATGTGTGGGTACAATTTTAGGGGGAATGCTATGAATACACACAATCAGCTTGTAAGTGAAGGTTGTTTTTTTTAAAAACCCCAGATACTCTTAGAATTCTCTCTCTTCAACACAGAATGTACAATTTCAAAGGACAAATTAGCAAAGATTGAACAGTAGAGGCCAAAAGTGCTGATTAACAGAAGTCATTTCTTCCTTATCTTGTTATTTTCCTAGCAGTGAGACTTCAGCCTGCTTCAAACTGGGCTTTAATTTTAGACTTGTAAATGGGAAGTGTACAATCACCTTTGCATGCAAATGGGGCTGCAAGATGCCCAATTACCTAACATATATCAGCAGACATTGCATTTGTAGCCTCACATGCATACAACGTTATGAATACAAAATGAGGAGGCTGCTACTGAAAATTAATCCCTTGTCCATTGCATATTCTTTGTTCACCCTAAGAAAGATTTTTCACTCCTCAATTCACAGGAGCTTGGGAGCTGCAATTCTGTGGGTAATGGCTACACACTTGAATATGATGCAATGGTGAGCCATTGTACAGAGCCTTAAAGATGAAACGCAAGGTACTGGATTTAAATGCTCGCCGTGACATGATTGCACAATCCTTCAAGTCTAGCCACATCGTGGCACAGAGCTTCTCGCCATCCCAGGGATTTGACTCTACACTGATCAGCAGTTCTCAAACTTTAGCACGCATCGGAATCACCTGGAGGGTCAGTTAAAGCGCAGAGTTCCCGATTCAGTAGGTCTGGGGGCGGGGGCGAGGGGTGAGAACTGGCATTTTTAACAGTTCCCAGGTAATGTTGATGTTCTTTTTTTTTTTTTTTTAACATCCGTTTACTTTTGAGACAGAGAGAGACAGAGCACGAACGGGGGAGGGTCATAGAGAGAGGGAGACACAGAATCTGAAGCAGGTTCCAGGCTCTGAGCTGTCAGCACAGAGCCCGACGCGGGGCTCGAACTCACGGACCGCGAGATCGTGACCTGAGCCGAAGTCGGACGCTTAACCGACTGAGCCACCCAGGCGCCCCAATGTTGATGTTCTTGATCTAGGGACCACACTATGAGAACCACTGCTGTAGATCAATCAAGTTATATTTGAACATTTAGACTGATGGGAATTTAGGGATTAAATCATTGATAAAGATATAGATACAGATACACACCGGAGGTCACAAGGTTAATTAAGCAATGGTACTCAGACTCAAATGCAGGACTTTTGTTTTAGATTAGGTGGGTGTTTGCAGCTAACCCTTCAGCTTGACACAGAGAGTAGAAGATACGATCGTCACTCATTTCCAGCCTCTTGATAGACTCCCAAAGTAACCTACTTTACTGAGCACCTATTTATGGACTCACATTAAGGGGTTTATGAAGAATGAAGGGAGATATGAAAAAGCAGACCAACCACTTTAATGGAGCTTATATTTTAGTTAGGAACAATTTCTGAAGCCTCTGGAGCATACCACAAGAATATCCAAACAAATGTCAAAGTAAGAGGACATTAAGTAGAAATTCAAGGTGGGGGACAGTCACAGAGGGATAGAAATGAGAAGTATAGCTAGCTGAGGTTTAAAAGACAGGGTCTGAAATGGCCAAAGAAGGGTTTCTTTGCTAGGGTTTTACCAAGAGCAGCTTCACAGGATTTTCCAAGTCCCATGGGCCTCCCTTATGCCCAAAATTTAAACCTCGTTAAAGATCTGGAAAGAAAAATCATTCTATAGGTAAAAGATCTTATTCCACAATATCTAATCTGAATATGTTCAAGTCTGATAACATCACAGTAGCATCTTTAGTTTTAGGAATAGAACTGCGGTCAATCTATTGCAATTTGTGTAGCCTACACGTACCCAGACATAGTGTGGGGCCATGAAAAGAGGGAAAGAATTATCCAACCCTAAATTCAAAGCCTTTTAACTTGAAAGCCTTTTAACATAACCCCAGGCTCAAGGAGGGGTCCCAGTAATAAATGTTTCATGTTAGAGAATTCCTCAGTAACCTTCTTAGTAACATTTTCTCGGCTGCAATTGCCAAATCTGAAACATAATATTCAGAAGAAAGCATGGCAAGTATTTGGGCTTCTAGTCCTCTGACTTGCTATGGAAAGAGGAGCCTACTTCTAAGGATCTGCTTTTTAGGTTTTTTATTATCATGTGGCAGAGAGTAATGCCTTGATAGATACAAATATCCGTCCCTTCTCTCCTCCCTTTTTCTTGACATGAATAACAAGTATAACTTATTCATGTTTTCAGCCAATTAATTTCCACCCACAGCAAGGGCCTCTGCTGTTTTAACCTGCATGTCTTCCCTTTCAACAGCCTGACTCTCAAAGATGCTGATCCAGACAAGCCCAGCCTGCCTATATTTAGTATTCTGGGCATTTCCCGATTAAGCAACATTCAAGCCACTGAAGTAAATGTATATCTTTGAAAATGAGTTTCCTTAATTACCTCATTGAAATTTAATGAAATCTCACAATTTGTAAGATTATTTTCACTTTCCAACAGCACACATCCAGGAGACATACTGAGGGAGAACATATAAAGAAGAGCAGAAGACAAAGAGAAAATGTGTTCCTGCACCATACAAAAAAAATAGAGAGAAGAAAAATATATTTAAGAAATGTTTTTCTTGCAAGGTCTCTCCTGAGCTACACAATTGCTTCTCTCGTGTCCATTCCTGCACAATTTTTATAACATCTCATCAATAAACGCCCTATGAAAATGTTATGCTGAAGTTATGAAAAATATCTTGGCTGGCTAAAAGTATTACATAAATATATCCCCTGGTGTGTACAAACTGCAGCAGATGTAATTTAAATTTCTAATTAGGAACAACACTGGTTTGACTGAAAAAGAAACATAGGAGCAAAAATTCAGAAACAGAAGATTAAGTAACAAACAGATCTTTTCAAGCAGTACAGGAGACATGTGAAGTCTACCATTCTTCAAAAAACTAGTTTGAGGTTTTCTTAGTTCAAGAAAACCTTAACCTTGCATGAACTTGAAAAAAAAAGATTTTTGGTTAATCAAAGGCACTGGATTTTTCTTGCTATGGCTTTCTATATTGGTTTTTGTTATATGACCTTCAATATAGGCATCTGAAGCTTACTGTTTTTAGCCAACATGTGTCAAAACTTGAAGCATTCAGGTTTCCAAAAGTTTAATAAACAGACCATATTCCCAAGAAAAACAAAAAATAACAAGATCCGGCTGAGTAAATCATACTTAACCACTACACCTGTTACACCAACCCTGATCCAGCACTCCACAACTCCAGTGAGGAAGGGCTCATGAATTCTTTGACCTCAAAATCTGCAGAGCCCAAAACACTGTCTACACATCCAAGAAGCTGATGTGAAGCAAGTTAGTTCTTGAACCCACAGCTTCTGGTGGACAATTGAATAGATACCCAGAGGGCAGAACAGACACCCAGAGGGAAAAGATACGCAAGAGATCACAGGTCATCAGCACCTTTGTGCATAGAATAACTTTATGGAAAGTCGAAAAGGTATACACACACACACACACACACACACACACACACACACACACACACACACCCTCCATCCCAGCATTCCTATGTAGGCTCGTGGTTTAGTGGGATATGGAAAATTTATGCAAATGAGAAAAAAGTGCTCCTTCTTTCAGGTAGAGGTAACCCTACACTAGGGTGCATGGTTTGGTATGTATTTCAGCTCCAAATTACTACCTTAGCCAGACAAGTTTGTGTAGTTACCAACCTGCACAACCATACAGGGTAGACCTGAAAGATGTCACATTTCATCACTTAAAACACATATACAGACATAAATGATAAGGGCTTTGAGAAAAGCAAGAAGGATTCACTCTAAAGATACAAAGAATCGGGGCGCCTGGGTGGCGCAGTCGGTTAAGCGTCCCACTTCAGCCAGGTCACGATCTCGCGGTCCGGGAGTTCGAGCCCCGCATCAGGCTCTGGGCTGATGGCTCAGGGCCTGGAGCCTGTTTCCGATTCTGTGTCTCCCTCTCTCTCTGTCCCTCCCCCGTTCATGCTCTGTCTCTCTCTGTCCCAAAAATAAATAAACGTTGAAAAAAAAAATTTAAAGATACAAAGAA